GATGTTAAGAAGAGACACCTGGTTCCCTCCTCCCTTGGAATTCAACGCCTCAAAGTTACGTGTTAAAATGAACTTGTAGTATTTTCTGTGAGAGAAAAAAACATTAAATTATCTTATGAATAAATTGATGTAGCATTAGGAACAGAGAAACCAAGACTGACTTCTGCATTGGGCTAAGCTCTACCCGCACTATGAGCTCGGTTTTTGACGGCATGTTCTTAAACACATCTGCCTTCAGTCTCCTGAGCATGTGTGGCCCAAGCAGGTCGTGTAGTTTCTTAATCTGGTCCTCTTTCGAGATGTCCGCAAACTCCTCCAGAAAGCCCTCCAGGTTACTGCGCACAACCACATTTTCATTTGGATATAAGGGAAGATAGAATTCACTTCCATCAAATCATATGAAAAACATGTTTCAATCTAAGCCCTGTGATCGCTCTGCGGGGGATCGTTATTCTACGAGCAGATCTACAGTATGAATCACCAGGTGAATCATGCAGTCTGCAATCTTACTTGAAGCGCTCCGGGGTGAGAAAGTTGAGCAGGTGAAAAAGCTCTTCGAGGTTGTTCTGCAAAGGGGTTCCAGTCAGCAGCAGCTTATAGTAGATTTTGTAGCCATTCAGAATTCTGAAAAACTGAGCATTAGTTTATAGATTAGAATCTATAACAATATAAAGTGGTGATCAAAAAGTAAAAAAAACTGTATAATATTTTTTCACTGGAATCTTAAACTTTTTCACTGATATTTTCCACGAATATTTCTTTTTATTTGTTCTTATATTATTATTTTGAACAATGTACAAGAAAGAAAACATATAAAGTAAAATGAATAAAAATATTTTTTAAAAATCTGTACTATTGGGAAAAACTGGTATTAAATTATATATTTAACATTGGTATTAAATCATATAAATTGCATTGGATTTTTTATTTTATTTTTATTTTACACTTAATTTTTGTTATGAATATGATGATGTCATAAATCTTTCCTTGAATTCTGTACCTTTGAC